ACTGGCTTCAAAACTGTGAATGCCTGCTGTCAGTCATGCCCTAATTAAAAGATAATCTCAGCCCGTGTGGACCAAAGTGAGGAAAATTGAGGGATGTGGTGGAGGCCTTAGCATGATTCATGTGTTCACAGACTGCACAATTAAAAAGAAAGAATGGCTATTTTCTCTCACACAATGAATCACAGAATATAACTTGTGTGACATTTAAGAGATTGTACCCTCAGTTATATGTTTTATCCTTGTCAGATTAATATTACAATGGTCACATTTTATAATTCTTTGAAATGAAATGTCATATAGCACTTTATGTCAGAGGATTATAAAACTGACCAAAATATTTCACTTATGTAGACAAATGGCCAACACTGTCACTAACTTTTCATATTAAAATGTGTATGAAGATAAATCCTCCATTTTTAATACAGCAGCTTTTTATGCCTGAATCTCTCTAGGGATTGTGTATCCAAGGTCACCGAAATTGTGATCTTCTATGTTGACACATTTGAGAAGAGCCTACCACTAACAAAGAGAGCCTGAAAAACAACTGTTCCTGAACAAAACAAAAATACAATGATGATTTTTCCTTTCATTTCTTAACAATTGTAGCAGGATTCAAGCAGTGTAAACAAGTTTTAAACTCCAGCAGCGTCTCAAGAGATCAGGCTTTAAATTACTGCATGTGGTCAACAAGTCACGCAGTCTCACCTGTTTCTTCTGCTGTGCTAAGGAGCTGCTTAAGGACAGCAAACCTGCTGCCATTTGAAATAAAGTGCCAGTAACAGTGCATGCTGGTGTTCCTCCATAGCTGTGTGGTTTGGATATCAGCATTCTAAATTTCATGTCATTTAAGATATATTTTTACTTTGCACTGAGCTTTCTTAATAAAAACATCACCAGGAACCTAAGGTATTTATTTAATTGTAAGTCAAAATTCTTTTGATTCATTAGTGGAGCCTATTATTGACTTTTCACATTAAAATGTAGGACTAAAACAAATTTTCATGACGTTTTTATCTAGCATCTCATCAATATAGACAATATTGGGATTTTAAGATGGATAACAAACTGAAGAAAATATTTAATCTCTTTGAAATGCGATTTGTTTTTAGTGTTAATAGTATTAAACATTTCTTTGTTACTTTATACTATTGGTAACTCCAACACTTGCACCATTAGTACAACTAAAAACAGAAAACAAGACATGTGACTCTGGCTTGGTTTCACATCTTGTAACATTTAAAGTAACATCACAGCTGAAAGCTTAAAAAGTGCATTAAATGTAGTATTCTACAGATAAATAAATCTACTAGGCTTAAAAAAGATGATAAGGTACTAATTGAAACTCTAATGAGCCTGTCTGCATGCCATTCAAAAGCCCAGATTAGCGAATTCAGTAACAGATGACTATGACGGCGCCGTGGCAGAAATACATCATCGGAGTCAAGGCATTTGTTTTTCATGTTGACACACTTGGTCTCACTTAGCTGCTGTTTTGTTGACGTCTTCCTTTTATCTTGCTTCTATTTAAAACACTGAGTACATGTTAAAAAAGGAAAATCTTTTTTTCTTAAAAAAATATACCACAAAAAAATCAGGGTTAGAATGTACATTATGAATCATGAATATTTAGAAGCGAAGGGTATCACACCGTGCTTAAGATCCTTTACGGACTGCTGCACTGCAGGCTCTTCTTGCATAATAGTAATGCTAAGATTTAAATGATGAATTCAGATTTGCATTATACATAAGGGTTTACATTTCCAAAGTTTATTCTTTCCTAGTGAAGCTCCCTTTAGCCTGGAGTAATTAATACTGACGTGTATTAACAGAGGATGTAATTGAAGCATGTTTTGCTACTGTGACTGTGGAAGTATTCAAACAGTAATAGTGGTTCATATGGTGTCAGAATAAAGGCACTTATCTCTGTAATATCCCACAGTTACAGTTTATTTCAAGCAAAGATGCAGCAATTCAGACCAAGGATCTTTTAAAACAGCTAAGGGCTAAGGATAAGGAAAAGCGCAGATCAGGAGAAGGGCAGGAAAACATTTCAAAAACCCTAAACATATCTCTTTAATCATGATGGACATGCTGGTAAAGTTGATCATTATGAAGTGGAGGGCACCCAGACCCCATCTAGATCTGCCAACTCAGCAGCTGGACAATGAGGAAACTGGTAAGGGATGTCATCTTGAGGCCAATGGCAACATTGAAAGAGCTACAGAGTTCAGTGACTGAGACAGAAGATAATGTCCAACAACCAATGATTCCACAAAGCTAGCTTCTGTAGCAGAGTGGAAAACCCATCCTAAATCCTGTGTAATTTTGCAACAAAGCATTTAAGTGATCCTGACAACATGTGGCAAAAGGCTTTGGGGGTGGCCAAGACAAATTAGCACTTTTTTATCTTAATGCAAAGCAATACATCTGACGCAAACTTAAAGATAGTGCCTCACTCAGTCAACACCATTCCTACCATTAGGAATAGTGGTGGCAGCATTACGTTATAGCTCTGCTTCTGCTTCTCATCATTAGAGGCTATGAAGCTTGTCATTATGGATGAGATTATAGATGGAGCAAAGTACCAGCAATTCTTGAAGGAATATCTCCTTCAGAACTAAAACTGATTCAAAGCACCAGGCCAGAGATTCACTGGAGTGGCTTCAGAATATGAAAGTGAATGTCCTTGGGCAGCCCAGTCAAAATCCTGATTTGAATCCTATTGCGAATCTGTGGAATTACTTGGAAAGCTCTGTCCATAAGCAATCCCATGGAAACATGAGGGAATTTGAGCAAATCTGCCAAGAAGAATTGGCGAGCACCAAGCTTGCACCAAGATAGTGTGCAAAGTACTGAGAGATATACCTGGAAAGGTATGAGCCTGTAATTGCTGCCAAAGATGTGTCCACTGTTCATTGGTCTGAATACTTACGCAAACAACATCTTTCAATCTGATTCTGGTTAGTTTTTACTAACATTTACGGTAACAGATCTTATCCTGTGGAATATTTTGCAAAGCACTATACACATTAAAGAGAAAGTCTGTCTCTTTAGTCCATACTGTATGTAGAAAAGAAGGCTCAAGGGAAGAAGGTACCTAAGTTCCTCTGTTCATTTTCAGGTGATAAAACAGGGGGGACTATTCTGAGCAGTCAATCAAATGTTTACGGCATGTCATGGAAGGTGGGAGGAACCTGGGACACCCAGTGTAAATCCAGATTACAGAGGGAGAACAAGCAAACTTCAATGGCAGCTGTTATATCCATCAACAGTGCATATCACCACATCACCATGCTGCACATGTCTAGAACAGAAGTGGTTTTCATGCAGTAACATATAAGGAAAGAATATACGTCTGCTATTCACAGGATGTAGAACGACTGAGCGATGACCAAAAGAATTAGTGACATTTCTGAGAGTTTTTGTGAATTTTGGAAGTACTTTAATGGTGAAGTGTCTCAGAGAAAGAGACTTTTCCTAGTAAAATTTTGAGACGAGTCTCAGGGGAAACTGTTAGTGAATTGTTTGTTTGGAGGCCGGTAAGCAGTTTAGTTGCTTGGCTATGCTAGTTAGTGACTTTGAGAAGAAGTGTAGTCGGGAGCTCAAGGAGGAGCTTAGGCTTTTGTTTGGCTGTTTTTGTTTGGTTTGTGGGGGTTTTTTCCCTGCACTGTAAACAAATTACACTGGAGATCTCGAACCTTACAGCTGTGTGTTTTGTGCATCTGTTGGGCTGGGCCCACCTATTTTTTAAAGATCCAATTACGACACGCCCAATGAATTGTCACACAGCATAACCTCTGATAGGGGTAGTGTTAAAAGATTCCTCGAAGGACTGATGCTGTTCACTGTTCCATGGAGGCAGCATTCAATGTGAAACATTAATGTCTGCTTGCTGACAAAAGGGCGGTTCTGTCAGTTGTTTAAGTCACTATCAGGGGACACAGAAAACAGCTAGTCTCAGTTATAATGCCAACAGCTGTGACATCCAGTGTTCCCAACAGGGAAGCTGCACTCTGAAGATCTTAATGCCTTTGCTTCCAGGAGAAAGAGACAAATATGCCCAGCTAACCAAAAGGGTCAGTTTTATAACCCATCATAGAAAAATGTAGCTGAAAAACAGGTCTGCACATGACATAGTCCCAAATATTAGATCATGCATGAGCTGCATCAACCATCTCCTAATGTCAAATATATTTATGAATATACCTGTAATGGTCAGAAACCCTTTCTAATTTGTAACTGAAATGTTTTAAAAATAAATTAAGTACATCTTAAGGTAAATGATGGAATAGTTCCATCCAGTATGCTTGCAATATATTTGCTTTGAGAATCCAGTCTATTCAGCTTTTTTACATATATAAATGCTGTGCATATTTAAATCTGTACACTTTCTAAAAGTGCAACATGATCACTGTAAAAACAAGTACAAAGCAAATTAACCTACAGTAATTCATTTCAGATTTTGTGTAGTAACCAAATAACCTACTGGAGCTTTAATTATGCTGTTTCAGCCGAATTGTGCCCATTTAAGTGGTGTCTTTCACAAAACTGATTTAACTGCACCTTGAACATTTTCCACATACACAAAATCCATTACTTATTTTACATGTTGACATGCACAGTACTCAGAACCCTGATTGCACTATCATGCTCAAGTGCCTGGTCAGGTGCATCGGCATGCTCTAGCTAGGCAGTTCTCATCCTGATGCAGGCTTTGAAGCTGAAAACCTGAAGTGTTTGAGCAAGTAATCATGTTTGAGAGCATAATGGGTATTTCTTCCTAGTGTATGCAATTCATCACTAGACAAACGCATCTGTCAAAAACCTAGCACGATCGGTTCCATTCCAGGAGCTCCGTAACACTGAAAATAAACATTGCACATGAGGAACAGAAAGGAAGGAAGGGGGGAAAAGCAATTGCCTGTTTCCGTTTATCACATTTAGGGATTGAATCAATTTTGTATTTGTTGTGTGGGAAGCAGACCACAGCTCTTACTAACCTGACGCAGAAGTACAACACAACTGGCCCAGACTTCTTGGGGAACTCATGTTCCAACACTCGACGGTCAAGCTGCAGCCAACTGAAATGCCCCCTGAAAGAAATTTTAATCAATTCCGTTAAAATTAAATCAAATCTTAAAATCAGGTTACACAAACATTCAGTTCTGAAAACAGTTCGCCGTATGATTTGGCATGACTTTGAAAAATATGCCATTTTTTTTCCAAAGTACTAGTATCTACGGTTACTTCGGTTTAAGAAAGGCATTTTCTGTTAACTGCACAATAACACCGTGGCTTGAGTTAGTCAGAAGGACATGATTTAAAAAAATTAGAAAAATGCAGGACTTTGCAGTATGCAAATTGGTGATATTCCCCCTAGCTCTGAAAGACCCTTCTTACTGATAGAAACACAGTCTTCTCAGAACCCCCTGGAACATGCATATTAAACCTGCTAATCAATTACCCAGAAAGCCTGTAGTAAGGAAAAGGGAATGCTTTAGGTCAGAGGAGAACCAACCCCCTCCTGTGCTCTGCAAGGATGAGGATCATAGCTCAGATATCACGGAGAAGCAGGGAAAACTTCTGGTAGCAGGCAGGTCTGCTGGCAGAGGCTTCACCCCCAATTATCACCATGAATCTTAGCTGACAAGTCCTGTGATCAGCACGTTGCACCCTCTTGGCTCAACACAAATATCTTTACAGGATTCGGTTTTATGTAATGTCTTCATTACCAGCCAACAACCAAAGAAGAAGAGTCTTTCTTGTCCTAAGATATGATCATAACAGGTTTGCCCCCATGGTAATTCCACCTAGTAGAGTTTGTTTGCAGTTAAATGTTTCCCAAATAAAAAAATAATTTTTCAAATCACAGGTTGAATATTATCCTACCACAGGGCTAATAGAATACAGATATTCCAATCTGCTCCATTACAGGAGTTTTCATTCACCCACTTTTTTGATAATTGATTTATTGATAATTAAAGAAAACTGATTAATTAATGGTCAGCCAGCATCAAACACCTATACTGAAATTAGGGTAAAGGCTTTTCTACATGTTTATTTATGATTTGAAGTATCTGGATACTTGTACTCCACCAGAACGTGCTGCTCCATATTAACTTGTTGATTCAGAATTTAAGTGAAGACAGACTCATTTCACCATTACATTAAATTTAGAGCTGGACTCAACTACAGTTTGGACTTTGATGATACACCTATATTATCAGAAATCAATTTGTCAGTCTAAAATCATCAATTACAACTTTTAATTCTATTTTTTGCATAAGACTTGTTCTAAGCAGGTGGATTTTGTGCTGACTGTTGTGCACTGGACTCCTGATTAAAGAGACTGACACCTCTAACACCTATTTTTCTTTCCCTGTGTTAGTTTTCTCAACCACAGCAGTACCTACTAGTCTTCTCATTCAAATCTTTCTGAATTTGTCTATCCATTCTGGTGACTGTGATTATAGACTTTTCCCGGCAAAGGCTTTACCTTTGTTGTCAAGACATCTAGTAAATGACGTTTCTGCAAGTTAGTCTTAGTGCTTGCTGCTCCTTCAGTTGAACAGAGCTGTGAGGATTACACCATCGGTCAGTTTTGTATTTCCAGTTTAATTATTATTACTAGCTTATTAAAATTTCCAAACAGATAACTAGATTCTTTATCTAAGCAAGGAAAATGTCCTACCACAAAAATTGATGGGTTTATAAATTCATTATTCCCGATACCACCTTAAAACTGTTTTATTCCAAACAGTTAGAAGTGTAATCAATTTCCTTTTACTGCTTTAACACAATTCACATTCAAAACAAATGTAGTCAGATAACACCTTTCATTTACAGCAGTGTCCAATTAATTCTGTTGTTTGAAAATCTATTTTTAATTCATATTTCAAGTGCTGCTTATTAAGAGAATGCAATGCAAAATGGGTCCAGGAAAGTCTTACATTCCTGTTTATATAAACTGCTGTATCTTGTTTTGCATGAAATCCAAATTTGGAAACAACATATTTGCATAAGTTACAGAGTTCACAAAAATGGATTTCAAATAATCTTGTAAAACTCTGCATGACTCTTTAAACGTCCGTATTTACAAACATTTTCCACATTTATGGTACTGTAATCATTTTTATTTACTTCACAGGCAAAGCAAATCAAAAGGTCAAATTCAGACTGTTCCTATTTTGGTTTATGTCTTCCCCATACACAAGAAAACACAGTGAAGTTTAACTTTGAAGCATTAAATCTTATTATCATGCTTAAGATTGCTTTTTCAGAAAGATTTTAATAATTTTTCCATTGCCTTGAACAAACAATAATCCTGGCATAGCATACCTCCCCTGATTACATCTTAGGAATGTGGCAGAGCTGGGCTTCTCTGATAAGCAGACATTTGACACAAATCTCTAAATCATAAATTAGGTTTATCCCGATAGCTCCAAAGCTGAAGTGCCCAACACCTCAGTGCCTCTTTTTGGGTAAACATCTGGAGTGTGACTCTACCTGGCGGTTACCTGCCAATCATCTAGAATGTCCAACCAATGAGGAGTGGAAAAGACAACTACACAATGACGACATCACAACCAATCACCAACCGTAATAAATGGACTTAATGAACCATGATTACTGCACAACAATGTAAACTTGCACACTCTCTCACACTTGAAACCTGGCAACCTTTCAAGCTAATTAAACATGGGACTACTGTATGACCACCATTGTCCACGTTTCAGGGAAGCAAGCATAGGTTTAATAAGGAACAGATTGAGAGAGTCCTACGAGTCTTACAACAACCTCCTCCAATTGTAATTTTGCCCGTGCAATGAAATTAATACACTTAGACTTTTGTTGATGCCTGAACATATACCATATTCTGTGTAGCAGCTGAAACCAAAATAGGACTGAGTTTGTCCTATGTACTAGACCTGGGCCAGACTTTGTGCACAAACTGTTGGACACAAACACTTAAGATAAAATCTACTGTAAGTAGAATTATTTCCATTCTAGGAAAGCCAAGCTGAGGATGACAATAGCAAGGAACCTGTTTTTGTTCCTTGCACCACAGGACATCCTTAGTATGGAGCCAGTGGAAGAAGATTGGACAGCTGTGACAAATCCAGATTCAGCTGTTTCTCTACAGGACTTTCACAGAGTGGCCTAGCCAGAGTGCAGTTTTGGTCCAGTATAACCTACAATGTTCACATTATAACCTGTGAGAATACTTGACATTGTTGTTTTGTTTGATTCCTAGCAGCCATAAAAACTATCTCACAATTTACTGTTCCATTTTGTAATCTTTTCAATAAACTTAAACTACAGTATCATGTCCCTACAACATTAATAACATCAAAATGATGTTTTACGACATTTCACTGTCCCAATACTTTGCTTTTCACTTTACATGAAAAAATTATTATCCAATTACTTGCAGGCTTTAAAGAAATCTTATAGGCCAGATAAAAGTGTATAAGATACTGATCATTAAGAAGAACAGAATAACATCTGTATTAAGATTTAACTCCCTTAGATCCATCCATTTTCTAACCACTTTCTCCTATTCAGGGTCAAGCAACAGGTACATTGCAGGGTGCATCCTGGACAGACACAAACACAGACATGCACACACTCACACCAGGGCCAGTTTTCCCAGCAGCCATTTCACCTACCAGCATATCTTTGGACTCGGGGAGGAAACCAGAGCACCTGGAGGAATCCCATGTGAACAAGGGAAGAACATACAAACTCCATGCAGATAACACCCCCGGTCCAGAACTGAACCCAGAGCCCCAGCACTGCAGGGCAGCAATGCTAGCCACTGTGCCACCATGCTGCTCACCCCCTGAGATATGCTAGTCAAAATAGTCATTGTGAAAATACACAATCACGTCTTTTTCGAGGTCACAAAAGTTAAACAGTTCTTATAACACGTGTATCTTGACCTAAACTTCTGTAAGTGTTAATTAAAACGTAATTAAATTTCCCACAAACACTAGAGTGTAATGGTTGCTAACAGGATAGAAAGGTCATATCTTCTCATATAATTCTGCTGTCCAAGTCTATTAAAACGTACTAATAGATGACACACAGTAGCACTTGGCATTTATTAAATATGTGTTTGGATGTCTCAATTTATTTATCGTTTAATGAACAATGATTTCTAATGACTGGGAACTCAGCAGCTACTCACGTCTCATCCGTGTACGATATTCCAAAATATTCCTTCTCTTTCAGATTAAAGTGGGAAGCCACCAGGTCCAACAGATCTTTCGCCAGCAGTTTGGGCTAAAAGGAGAAAAAATAATGCATTACACCACCGCATCCACAAAAACAAAAAAATTGCTCAATTTCATACGTACAAAATAATTGTCAGATATGAATCTTGAACTTCCAAGCCTTTATTCATATTCTAATAGGTATTGAGCCAATTAAAAAAAAAAAGATGTTAACAACACAACCTTGTTCCAAGGTGGCTGCACTGCCAGCAGAAAATCTCAAGTCATTTATCGACCGGAAAAGGACTGCAAATGCTGCAGTACTTTTTTCAATACATCTCTCCTATTGACAATAAGAAACATTCATGACTCTGTGTCTGGATCAAAAATCCCTGTGAAAGCAAAATCCACATTTAGAGCTCAAAAGGGGGAAACCTTAGTTTGCCAATGTACACCATTAATTCCACACTTCAATCCAATTCATTCTTATTAAGATCAGCACACATTTACATCTATTTTATTTTGTATTTACATCTATTTTTTAAGGTGTAGCCTAATAAATGAATAAAATCCTGTTTCAGCAGAAGGGTATTTCATATGTGTTACCACTGTTGTGAGTATACTGGCATACATCTGGACTACATGAGGTAAAACAAGCTAAAAAATATTTGCTGTTCTACCGCATAGAAAATAGTGAAGCATTCTTCAAAGATCTTAAATAAAAGGGATGACATGAAGTCACAGTACTCCTAAACCTGACCCCCCCACAAGTATCCAATTAAATGTTCAGAGTTGTTTTTTCTAAGGGTCTATGGACATAAACATCAAGCCCACATTCGACTTTTGAAAACTCAATCTGTGTGTTTTAGGACAGCATAATCAAAATGTAAAAATATGACACAAACGTGGCAAAAAAATCATAATTCACCAAACAAAGCCCAGGAAAGAATCAGCATAATTCTAAAGACATGTACAAAGAGGTTAAACTAAAAGTGAATTATCCAGCCCACCTAGTCTGTTTGGGTGCTTTCAGATAATTGATCCAAAAATCTCATCCAGTTGGTCAATACAACACTTATGTATAACATTCAGAGTACTGTATAAATATTTTCTTCCTTATGCACTATGCTATTCATCACGAAAGTGTTCTAATTACTATTTTTGTTCGAACCTACAAGGGCTGTTTTCAATTAGCTGAACAGACAAACCCAGAATAATCATGAAATTACTTGGCACGCCCACATATACTAAAAATATGTCGGAACAGTGAGCTGCACTATACCATTCCCAGATTATGCACATGGGAATTACACTGAAGTTATAAGCAATTAAGGCCGTTTACAACTTTACCACCCCTGATGGTGACTCCTATACAAAGTTGAAAAGGTAGGAAGAGCTCCAGTTACAAGTTTGGTAATTCAAAGATGTTTTTCATTAATCTTTCCATGTATATCAGGCCATATATGTAAATTGCCAATATTTCAACAATTTCCACATTCATTCTTCTTAATTATTGCATATTTTTACCATTTCTATTTATTCTTTAATTTTAGTAATTAATGCTCAGGGCAGAAACAATGTACCAAAGGCCACACTCTCTACCTTAAAACGTGTTTGCATATATTTACATAGTGCTCCAACTTCCAGCTCTTTGCAATAAAATGAAGCTTCTCCTTAGGGAAAATCATTCAGCTGCAGATGGAGTTCCCAAAAGCCCCACAGAAGGAAAGGTAAAACATTCACGGATCCAGTGAATTATTCATTCCACTGCCTTTTTTGCTAACAGGGCTAGTTAGCCATTTCCTTTTCCCAGGGCTGTTACTGGGTTCTGAGCATATGCATTTATTTTTTTTTTAATTTGTTTTAAATACTATTTTAATTTTTAATCACCAGTATTGTTTTTTGATCCCTTGTGACTTATGGCATTTGAGAATGAAACCATTCCTACCTAGCTAGTATTAAATTAAAATATAATTCAGTCATTTTGTAATGGAGAATATTTTATGTCCCAGCTCTTACTGAATATGTAGGTATTGTTTTCGGAATATTTGATTTATCTTCATTAACAACTCGACAGTAACCCACAGAATTATTTCATTTCTGATGGATGGCAATTATAAACTAGGCAGCCGTAAGTAAGTGCCAGCAATATTCTCCCTCGTCATTGTTCCACTACAAATCTCAAACACATGAGTGCACGTATTCAAAATTCTCAAAGGGACTGATCAACCCAGAGGACTTCTCCAAAATTAACAGTGGAAGATGAACAAGGGGACAGAAAAGGAACTATGTGGAAGTGTTATTTAACAACTTGAACAGGAGACACTTCTTTACTCAAAAACATGTGGGAGTGTGTAACAAGCGACCCAGCCAAGTGGTTGAAGCTGATACTTTGGATTTATTCCGGAAACGGCTGGATAAGACCCTTGAATTGATTAACTACGAATTACAAATGGACATGATGAGCAAAATGGCCTCCTTTTATTTGTAAATGCTCTTATGTTCTTCATCTCTTGTAATCTCCGAACATACCTCTCTGTCACCCTGCCAAACAATCAAACTGTCAGTATTTCCATACTGAACAATTGAGGGCTTACTGCAAATTGGTTTTGTTATTGCAAGCCTTTTGACAGCTTGAACAACAATATACAACCATTATAGATATAAGCATTTAGTAGTGGCAGGAGATACATTGTTTTGATTCAGCTATCCAAAATGGCATCAGATGGCTTATTGGAGTGCTGCACTTAACAAATTGGTATTGACAAGAGCAATATCAGAATATTCTGACAGGATCATAGAATACGCATATACTATTACAGTGTATACGGTAGCACTGATTAAATTTACGACAGCTCCAAGTCTAGCTTCCATGACAAATGTAAAACAAAGAGGAAGTGTGCGTTAATCCCACGCTTAGTCCTACAACTCTGCATTTACACGGTCATGTCTCCATCTTTCAATGCCATAACCTAAAGATAACACCTAAGCTAAAGATAACCTGCTCTCAACTTACGCAGTGTGAGCCTATACAGTCATCTTATTTACTGTTTTTATACTTATATTTAATATCTTGTATTACCATAAGAGGTTGGCAGGTGGTTTTTATAAGGGTAATAATGTATAATTTGACAATACGCAAAGCTGACTTTATACGCTACTCAGAATCCCTTACCCATGCGTACTGTAAGTTGCAAGTCAACTGTATTTATACATATCAAGCTTTTGAGGAATAAACATAGAATTACGGTACATATAGTAGTAACATAGGATATTTTGAATGGTATCTTCATTATATCATGTTGTACAAAACTGCAGACTTGCAAAACATTTTACTTGACTTTTACTTTATTTTTAATTCACACACAATTCCTTCTTGAAAATAAAGGTCAGACATTATCATGAGCAAAGGATTAAGTAGTCCCGATGCTGTACCAAAAGAAAAACTTTGATACTAAATAAAAGCCTTACAGCTGGAATATTATTATGTCTGAGAAAGAGTGAGAAATCTTTAATAAAAATACGGCATACCTAAAAATAAATTAAAACTAAAAAAACTCATTAAGATCTAATTTGGTGCAATTAGAATTGGAGCAAACGTAAGCAGCTCTGAATGGCTTCTGTCTTGGACAGCTAAATCCACACAGTTTCGCAGAATGAGAAATTTTCACCCTGAAGGGGGAATGTAGGGTGAACTCGGACTGAGGCATTCCACAGGGATCACAAATCTTATTAACACAATAACCCACAAACCTTTATGTCATGCCAGTGATAATGTAAGGAGGTTATTTAAATGGCAGTTCCTTTGCGTTGTTAACATCATTCTGAGATATTGCTACACTCATTGTGAACCCTGGCAAGCGCTACAAAAAACACACACACATACTCCTTATAGCATATTTAGTTTCTTTAATGCTCCTGAAAAATTGATGACATTGCTTTTCTAAGTGCCTTGAACCTAAATGCATGACCAACGGAGAAACCAAGGAAAATTCACCACCCACCAAAAACTGATGATTAAAAGGTGAAGCACAATTCACACTGCTTCCCCATCTTTGAATTGATTAAAAGATGTGCGGTCTGAATTAATCAATTAATCAATCTTCCAGCATGATAATTTCAATTTGAATCTATTTAAAATAACAATTTGATTACAATTGTACAGTAGATTTTCATTCCCTTTGGAGTCCTTCTGGAAGTATGTCCAAAAGGAGAATTACTTATTTTTACACAGAGCTTAAAGAACAATGTAAAACAACAGTCCAATCCCCCAAGGCACTATTAATGATCCAGCTATTAGGAACTACAGCAGGATACATACGCCCATTGTACCACGAATGCAGAGCAAACCTGAAATAAGAAAGGAAAACGCATATAAAAATGTAAGGTTGAGGAAACAATAACTAAACTAGAGGATCGACTGTTTGAAAATAAGATCTTAGGATATTATCAACCCTGTTTCAGAAAAGGTAGGTCTTAGAAGAAGATAGTAGACAAAAAGCATACAATGTGATACTGATTTCCAGAAGGCTTTGGATATTTATATATTTCTTTACAAAGAATTCTCAAACTGCATTCTCAGTAAGCATTCAATAAACTGTATGTGTGCTTGGATTGAGAACAAATGTGGTTAAGGGACAGAAAACGGAGAGAACAGATCGGCGGTGAATTCTTCGATTAGGTTGATATAATCAGTGGAGCACCACACGGATCTGTATTCAGAACATTGTCTTCCTAATTTATATCAATGATCTCAATTTTAGTATAATTAATATACAGTACTAGTCGAATTTGCAGACAACACCAACATAGGAGAATTGGCATTAGAAACAACAGTAGTAGCAGACACAGAAATTAATAACGATTTAGACAGAACTGAACACTGGAAAACACCAGGAAGAAACAACTGATACATCATGGGAAAAAAAGCTTATGAAAAAGATTTAGATGGTTATATTGGCACATAATTTATGTTCTTAACACTGTGGGTAAGGAATAAAAAAGCCAAACACAGAAGAGCAACCAGATACAGTAGACTCACATTTTATGTGAAATATTTTTACATACATT